GGCCACGGTCATCCCAGGGAAAACTCTATGGTTTTCCCTCGGATGGTTGTGGCCCCGCCCCAGCGTGCCCAGCGTCATCACGTCACTTCTGGGTGACGTGCATGCGGTGCGCACTCCACCCACCAGCCGGGAGTCCCCCGCTGCGGCAAGAAAACGACTTGGCAACCCTAGGGAGGGAGGGGGGAGATGATCTCATCTTTCCCTCTTGGCTTTCCCCGATGAGCTCTCCCAATCGAGCTCTGGAGACACGGAGTTCCCACAGAGACAGGAAACCTCTCTTGGAAACGATGACCCTGGGGTGAAATGTGCAGAGAGATCTATAGCATTTGGGAAAGCACTGCCTCAAGGAGACCAGATCAGCCAAACCCAGAATCATCCTCACATTTTCTCCTCTCCCCACAACCACTCTCCCCCTTCTTTGTTCCTGTAGGCCGAGGAAAAGGGAGGGGGGTCAGGCAGCCCCGTAGCTAGGGTTTTTTGGGGGAGGGGGCCTTGGGGGGCCCATACAGCCCCCACTAGAGCCTTCCTCTGAGGCGAGCCAGAATCCGAAAGTTAATAGACACTAAAAGGTCTAGGAAAGCTGCCGTGTTGTTTTTTTTAAAAAAAGGAGAGCGGGGATCAAGCTTCCTCCCTTCCTCCCTCCTTCCCTGTGAGCACAAAAAGGAAGGGGCCGGCTCAGCCCGATCGGGGGGGGGGGGGGGGGGGGGGAGGGAGGAGGAGTTGAAGATCGGGGGAGGGGCCTGCAAAAACAGCGGGGGGGGGCCACTTTAGCTACGGGCCTGGGGTCAGGGGACCATCAAACAAGGGGTGTGTGTGGAATCTGATATAGTGAACAACCCGTTTGGCCCCTTTTGCATCAAAGTTTGTCCTCTGTCCCAGGAGGGGGAAATCCTTGCACAAGACCTCTCCTTTGAATAACAAGCAAAGTATCTCTTCTCCCAAAATATTTTATTTTTAATTCCTGCAATTCCTAAAACTATTAGGCCAGTACTCAGCAAGAGAACATCCGCTGTGCAGTTCTCCTTTGCTGCAGCTCGTTTTATTATGATCGCAATTTCAACGTTATCTTTGACCCTACGCATTGGCAATGCCGCCACGGATTGGGCGGTGCGGCGACTGCACGGGACTGACCACAGAGCTCTCCTTCCATCATGTGTAGAGGACTGGTTAGGACGGTGTGGGCAGGAGGGGGTTTTGGGAATCAAGAGGATTGCCCTCCTCTGGACACATTCCAGCTTGTCTCTATCGTTCTTAAATTGTGGTGTGCAAAACTGAACACAATACTCTAGGTGAGATCTAACCAGAACAGAGCAAAGTGGTACTATCACTTCACATGATCTGGACACTATAGTTCTGTTGATACAGCCCAAAATCGCATTTGTCTTTTTAGCAACTGCATCACACTGCTGACTCATGTTCAGTGTATGGTCTATTAAGAGTCCTGGATCCTTTTTGCACATGCTACTGCCAAGACACGTCTCCCCCAACCTATAATTATGCATTTGATTTTTCCTACCTAAATGCAGAACTTTACATTTATCCCTATTGAAATTCATTTTATTTGTTTGAGCTCAGTTTTGCAGCCTGTCAAGCTCATCCTGTATCCTGACTCTGCCTTCTACCATGTTTGCTACCCCTCCCAATTCAGTATCATCTGCAAATTTAATAAGCATTGCCTCTATCCCTTCATCCAAATCATTGATAGATACTGAACAAAACAGGTCCCAGGACAGATCCTTGAGGCACTCCACTTGTCACTCCTCTAGACTGGATTACTGTAACTCGATCTACGCAGGGCTGCCCTTGAACTTGCTGTGGAAACTTCAACTGGTCAAGAATGTGGTTGTGTGGGTTCTTATGGGAACCCCACTGTGAGCACACATACAACCTGTGCTCTATCAGCAGCACTGGCTCCAGACTGAGTATCAAATCAAGTTCAAAGTTTTGGTACTTACCTTCAGAGCCCTAAACAGTCTGGGACCATTGTATCTGCAGGACTGCCTCTTCCTATATGTCCCTCATAGAGCATTATGCTCAGCTGGTACCAAGTTACTGGTAGTCTCTGGTTCAAAAATGATTTGGATGTCTTTGATCAGGAGCAGAGCCTTTTTGACCTTGGCCCCAGCCTGATGGAACTCTCTTCCTAGTGAGATCTGGGCCCTATGGGATTTAGCTCAGTTCTGCAGGGCCTGTAAGACTGAGATGTTCTGCTGGGCATATGGTTGAAGACAGAGATGGTTGGAGAGATCAGTGGCCTCCCGGGTTTCTTCTCCCCTCCTTTAGTCTCCATTTTCTTCTGGGTAAGATTCCCCATGAATGGAACATGGTTACTATGTTAGCCACTCAGATATCTGCAATGTATGACACCATCTAATAGCTGATTGTATTGGAGTGTACTGCACTGTATTTTACTTTATGTACTATGTATACACATGTTGTATGTGACCCTGAGTCCCATTTGCCAGAAATGGAGCGGGATAGAAATATTATTACTACTACTACTACTACTACTATTATTATTTGTTCTAAATAATAATTATTTTAAGAAACTTTTCCTGAAAGCATGTAGACCGCAAAGCCAAGCACAAGTTTCAGATTACACATTGTCAGGACCCAGGTTTCCCCATGGTAGTCCTCTGACCCACAGAGCTGCAGGCCAACCCAGAAGTCGGGAGATGCCACGACCCCCCGAGATGGCTACTCACCAGGCCAAGGGGAGGCTGTCAAACACCCAGCTGTGGTGGGGACCAGTGTTCCCTCTAAGCTGAGTTAGTGTGAGCTAGCTCAAAGATTTTTAGCCTCCTGCTCACACGTTTTCGTCCTAGCTCAAGAAGGAGGGCTCCAGAGCAAAGTAATTTCTGCAGTAGCCAAATCGCTCGCTCACAACTTTAATGCCAGTAGCTCACAAAGTAGAACTTTTGCTCACAAGACTCCACAGCTTAGAGGGAACATTGGTGGGGACAGCAAGCAGCTGGCCGGGAGCAATGGAAGACAGAGAGGAGCTGGCTCCTGTGGAGATGCACAGAGACACCTGGAGCGGCCCCGAGGGGCTGGGAGATGGCACGTTGCTGGGATGAGCTGGGACAAACCAGAGGGGCCAGTATGCCGGGACCAGTCCAGAGCGATGGCAGGCCAACCAACCCAATAGGGGGAAGCAGGTGGGGCCGAGAGGAAGTGGGGACGGCCGCAAGAACCAGTGGCAGTGAAACCCGACCAGGAGAGAGGTCCATCCAGGGAGACACAGACAACCATACAGGTGAGGGGAAAGGGGGGAGCGCAGACTGCTAAGGAGGGGCAGGAGAAACGGGGTTGGGCACCTGATGGCTCTGGCAGGAGGGAGACAGGTGGAGGCAGCAACCACTGGGGACCAGGATAACGGGGATCAAAGGAGAGCTCCAAGGGTGGCTGAGGAGGATCGCCAACCATGGTGCTGAGCCTTCTGGGCAGAGGGGAGACAGAGAACTGTCCAGGCACAGGAAGAGGAGGATCTTGGGTGTGCGAACCCCCTCCCTTCGCGACGGTGGGAGTCTGAGGCTGGAGGAGACCAGAAAGGGTGGAGGGGGAGGTAGCTGAGAAGGGCATGGGCCAGCCGCCACCTGACACACATATACGTATCTGTATTACTAGCACACATCTGTATATGTAACAGTGATCTTAAAACTGATTGAATATTTCAGAAGTTGCTCAGAACGCCAAGATTGTACGTTTAAATTTGTCAGAGAACAGGAAAACAGACCAAACATGAACAGTGGAAAACAGATCTGCAAAAATAATTTTAAAATACAAAACTAGGCCTGCAAATTTAAACACCATCCCCTCTGTGATCTTCAGGAGGAATTGACCAAGTAGGTTTCTGTAATTATTTAGTAGAACCCCAAACAATAATACTTGACCAAAGTTATAATTTATTTGTATACGGGCTGGAAAAATGTATGTGATAAAGACAAGCAACGACACATTTTTAAGACATCTAGATTTCAGTCCAGTAGCATCTTAGAGACCAGCAAGATTGTTTGGAATATAAGCTTTCGAGAGTCAAAGCTTCCTTCATGAGATATCGTTACAAAGCTCAGGCTCAAAAAACTCTGGTTGGTCTCTAAGGCACTACGGGACTCCAATCTAGCTGTTCTAGTGCAGACCAACACAGCTATCCCCTGAAAGATTTTTAAGAGAATACATGGTAGGCAGAGTTAGCAACGATTAAGAAATCCACAAAAACCGCAAAGTCATTTGTTAGGAAACGCATGTTAGATGGCAAAGATAAATGCAGCCTGTGAGCACTGTGGGAGTCTCGCTTAGACATCACTGTGGCTAACAGTGACCTCAGTGGTCCTGTGCCCATCAGCAGGGCTCTGAACAGGGCCAGCCACAGAGATGGAACACGTTTCAGAACACTTGGGGCATTTCCTAGTATTGCAGATTTATTTTTTAATCATTAAAGACCCCCCCCCCCGGTCTAATGATGACTAAGCCTGTTCATTGCCCTCCAGGGCCCATAGAATACTGAGGGCATATTAACATCCATTCGACAGAAAAACTGAGAGGAGAAGAAATGGACTTGCTTATAGTTGAAAGTAGGGATGGGCATGAACCTGAAAAATGCGATTTGTGGCTGAATCACAAACCGAACCAGTTCATGGCCCCACAAACCCCACTGAAAGGAACTGCAGTCCCTTCAACGGGGTTTGCAGAAAGTCACAAAACAGCTGAGCAATGGGGAGCAGCCTGCTCCCTGTCACTCAGCTGTTTCGGGATGTCTTGTGCAATGTTCTCTCTAAGCTGTGAAGTCCTGTGAGCAAAAATTCTACTTTGTGAGCTACCGGCAATAAAGTTGTGAGCAAGTAATTTGGCTGCTGCATAAATTAGTTTGCTCTGACTCCACAGGTTAAAGGGAACATTGGAGCCATCCCTCCTGAGCTAAGATAAAAATGTGTGAGCTGGAGGCTAAAAAACAGTAAGCTAGCTCACACTAACTCAGCTTAGAGGGAACACTGGTCTTGTGTAGTCCCTTTAAACTGGGACTGCACAGGACAGCCCGAAACAGCTGAGCAGCAAGGAGTGCCTCCCCACTCCTCAGCTGTTTTGTGGCTTTCACAGGGAACAGAAAGCAGGGGTTTAAAGGGACTCCCAAGTCCCTTTAAACCCCTGCTTTCTGCTCTATCCACAAACCACCATGAACCACTTTAAAAGTTCATGGAAGTTTGTGATGGGTCTTTGGTTTGTGAACCACTTCTTCAGAAAGTTTAGTTTTATTATTACAGTCTTAAGACCAACATACAGAGTAAGCATATTATGTAAGGGAGAGAAAAAAAACCCAGTCATCATATACAAAAATAGAAGTCTGAATTTAAGAACTTTTAAAATGTGATTCCTGCAATCTAAGAATTAATGCACAAAGCTCAGCGACTGAATGTGTAATCTCTGCATTCTTATCTGATAGGAGCCAGTGAAGCCTTGCTTTGTTTGTATTAATGTGCCCAGGTGTCCTATCGACTAATGGGGTAATAATTTTAAGAACAGCCTCCCTGTAAAATGAACAGCTGAAGAGCATATGCTCTACCGATTCAACCTCGCTTAAAAGGCATAGGCATAGCCTTTCAGAGTAGGGTTTTTTGTTGTACCTGCTTTGAATAACCGCAGATGAAAGGTCAGAACATCTAGCTAGGGCAAATGCCCTTCTAGAATTCTTTCCCTCCACTTAAGTCAAATATATTGCTGGCTCAATGCTGCTTTTGATATTTAACAACATCCCGAGTTTGGAAGCCTTAGAGATGTCAGATTGTCGCTCAATATCCTCAACTATTTGTTTAATTAGCTCTTTGGCTTGTTCAAATCCATAGGATAAGAGTAGCTGAGGGTAAAATTCACGATGAATTTTGCTTTGTGGTTCAGTTTGTGCCTATCCCTAGCTGAAAGTATCCTGGAACGGTGGGTGGTGCCACGTACCCCATGACCCCAACTCCTCTCTCCAAACTCTGCCATACAAGATTGGGTGGGGAAAAGTAAAAATACCTCACTCCTCGCACTGAATTCTCTCACTTTTCGGGACAAGTAGATTTGAATCCAGTAGCACCTTAGAGACTAGCAAGATTTTGGGAGGTATAAGCTTTCAAGAGTCAAAGTGCTTTTGTCAGATATCTGACGAAAGGAGCTTTGATTCCTAAAGGCTTATACCCTCAAAAATCTTGTTAATCTCTAACACACCCTACTGCAGACCAACATGGCTCCCCTCTGAAACTGTCTTCACTTTTTGAGCTGATTTACACTTCTGTGCTGATCATTTAATGACCACGGCATCATGTGTGAACAGGCCATCATGCGTCTAACGCAAAGACAGAACTTTCGTATTGCTGCTAACATAAAGCTTTCCCACACATTCATCTGCCACCTGCACAGCAATTGAGCGCAGAGATCACGTGCTGCCTACTGAAAAGCAAATCTTCACGACACCACATGTACAAGTCTCACACTTAAACAAGCTGCTCTCTGTGATAGGCAGCTCTTGTGTACTTGTTTTCCCCAGGGTCTGCTGTTGGTGTCGTGGTTAAGTGCGTGGACTCTAATCTGGGAGAACTGGGTTTGATTCCCCACTCCTCCACTTGCACCTGGCTGGCTGACCTTGGGCAAGCCGTAGTTCTGATAAGGGCTGTTCTTGAAAAAGAGCAGTCTCTATGAAGAGCTCTCTCAGCCCCACCTTAACTCACAGGGTGTCTGTTGTGGGGAGGGGAAGGGAGAGGAGTCTGTAAGCCGCTCTGAGACTCCTTTGGGTTGTGAAGGGCCATGGGGTATAAATCCAATCTCTTCTCTTCTCTTCTTCTCTTAGGAAATGGCTCAGGTGCTACCTGGCAACAGCGGGATCAAGCCTGTGTGTCTGCACAGGTCACTGCTTTAAGCATCCATACAGATTAGAGAGATGCAAGGGAGGGGAGGTGACTCACAGGGACACCCCTCAGGAGGTAGGTTAGTCCGCTGAGTCTCACATTCATTATTTATGTCTTGTGGCGCACCAGCAGTTCTCTTACAGCACTCATTTTGGGAATTACTGGTTTCGGGAAACGCTCCTTGGACTGGAGCAAACTCTGAGTCCAGGGGGGCACCTTTAAGACCAACGAAGTTTCATCCATGGTGTAAGCTTTCGTGTGCACAAACACTTCGTCAGACACAATGAAATTTCATTTCCAACTTTGTTGGACTGAGAGGTGCCACTGGACTCAAACTTTGTTCTGCTGCTTCAGACCAACATGGCGACCCACCGGTTCCTTGGACCACTTAGCCTCAGGTATTTACAGGGAGACCCTAAGAAGCTGTATTTTACTGCCACCTTCCTTACTGGGCATGTTCTCCTTATCCTGGAGATCTTGTGATAAGGTCACCTCCGTACAGCAATGTCTTGGGAGACATCTGCTCTTCTGCTTCCGGGGCCATAATGCAGTGTCTGGTGATGACTGACATTCCTTAAAAGAACTTACAGCAAATGTTACTAAGAAATGGTGACATGTGTGGATTAGCAGCTCTCAGCAGGTGGCAAGAAATCCGGCGTCCTCCCCCCTTGTGAACAATGCCATGTCAGAGCAGTGATGATGTCATCATGCAGACAGGAAACAGAGCACACCGGAAACTGATGGAATTCATGCACTGCAGGCTCAAGTCTCCTACTGATGGTGCTAAGGAGGGGAAAGGCAGAGCTACGAGGGGCATGCTAACGGTAGGCTCTGCTGGGCTCCTATCGAGCTATGTTACCAGGCGATCTCACCGCACACAGAAGACCTAAAAAGGGCATGCTCTTTGACAGAACCATACCTCCATGTCATCTTCTTCATCAGTCTATTAGAGGAGACAGAGTATAGGGTAGAAAAGGACAGAGAATAAAGTTTAGGAGACACAGTACCATCCAAACAGGAGCCAACAAGGAGAAACCACGAGGATCAACAAGGGGAATGCATGAATACCAAGGCAAACCGGGAACAATATTTTATCTTGAGGATCCCAACTCCTCCTTTTGGCAAATTAGTTCTGTTTTTCTTTTTCCCTAGCTGATTTTCATACACCTGTACATTCTGGAGGGCTGCTATGTCCTGTCAAGGCACGATGGCAGGGCCAACCCTGGACATTCAATGGATAAAACTCTGTGAATCTGGGTCATGACATAACCTTGGAGTGCTTCCCCTTTTTTGCCAGAGGAATGTTAAAGAACCACTGTGAGAGTTAAAGAACCGCTATCTTATTCCTTCCTGTTGGCCTTCACTATCTCGTTTTTGGATCGCAGGCCAGCTGACACCACAAGGGATAAGTGAAACAGCCACCACTTAGTAACTAGGAAGTGACAGAGATCAGAAGGTCATCATGACGGGACTGCTGCCACAGCAGCCTCCTTCCCCCTTGGTCAAGATTAATGTATACATGCCAGATGCCCACAAACAACAGAGTAGAAGTAAACATTACACATAAGTACACATGAAAGGAGAGTTCTGGAGGACAGAAGAAAGTGAATGGAAGAGAAAGCCAACGTTCTGAAGAAGTGTGCATGCACACCAAAGTTTCTACCCAGAATTAAACTCTGTCGGTCTTAAAGGTGCCACTGGAGTCAAATTTTATCCCAATGTTCTCAGATGTTACTAGCCAACCTGGCCCGTAGAAAATTCCTGATTAGCCCAATATATAAAAAGACCGTGTTGGGCTAGTTCAACCATGGCTACACTGGAAATGGTACAATCCTATAGCACTTCGGGGTTTTTTAAAACCCAGAGAATCTCCTGCTAGAAAGTGAGATCCCAATGTGAAAATCATTCCTGAAAGCTGTCCTCCAACCTAACCTCCTCTTAGTTTTCACAGGAAGTCTCTTTGTGAACACAGGTGATTCCGTCACCTGGAAGAGCTGAAAAGCTCTTCCGTGCGCCGGTGTCTCTATGCAGCGTGAGCACTTTCCATCACATGGGACTGCACAGAGGATATCAAGGCCAGCACCAATTGGGGCGAGGGAAACGTGGCCTGGTATAGAAACTCCTTGTGCAGTAGGGGGTGCTCCACAGGATGAGTGGTTCTCACATCTCGCAGCCAATCTGTGAAGCTGTGGTTGTGAGCTTCCCTGTGGGTGCCTTAATAACAGCTTTGGCCTTAAGTATGCCCCACACACCGTCCACCGGGGTGCACATTCACACTTTCCGTACTTTATTAAGAAAGTCTCTGATGCAAACAGCACAGAGGAAAATGTCAAGAACTGAGGTGGAAACCCACCTTTACACAATGGACCACAACCAATGGACCAGATTTAAATCTGAAGCATACTCAAAGGAGAGCCATTTTCTCTAATGCCTTGATGTCAAACAAAACCTGCCCATGTGTTGAACATTCGACCTATGTATTGCATTGGTACTGGGGCTGCCGGGTTCCAGGTGGGGCCTGGAGATCTCCTGGTATCACAACTGATCTCCAGACTACAGAGATCAGTTCACCTGGAGAAGACGGCTGCCTCAGAGGGTGGAGTCTGTGGCATTTTGCTCTGCTGAGGCCCCTGTCCTCTCCCCAAAATCTACCCTCCCTGGCCTCCACCCCCAAATCTCCAGGATTTCCCCCTTCTGGAATTGGCAGACCTAGTTGGTATTGTCAGATTTTAGGTAATATGAACAATATACAATCAGAATCTCCAAGTTTCTTAAAATAATTTTCTTAGTTGCTTTCTTGAAAAATGAGACAATTAGATCTTTAGTCTTATCACATGATTTTATGAAATCTGTATAAACGCTTAAGGCAATAGCCCAGTGCAGAAAAAAATGGATGTGGTTTCTAACTTCTAATGAAGACAACTAAATTAGATCTTGTTGATTTCAGTAGAATTTGGGATTAGATTCTGCATGACAATGCAGCTCATCTTTGGTTTTATCAACGTCAGTACTGTCAGAAAGGGTCTGGATGTGGCTGGAGCCGTGCATTCCCCACCAAGCTGCTTTCCTCCCATGGAAGGAAAGATAAATACCAACATGGTTTCCCTCGTGGGCCCAGGGATTAGCTGAGGCTGCAGCTTCAATCGAATCCAGAGACCACCCCCCTTCAGAAAAGGACACCCTCCCCCCATTTGAGGGCCCTTGACACTGCCTCCAGCCTGGACCACAGTTGTGTCTTAACTTTTGTTGGACTGAGCCCAGTGACAGTAACAACCTCTGGGTGAAGCTATTATTTTATCCAAAATTAATCCATATTTTTTTTAATTCCAGAAATATTCACAACCAACAATGGAAGCCTTGTTTGTTTTGTCTTTTACGGCATTCTCACCACAGTTGACACACAAAAAAAGATTAACTGAGGTGGAGGCAAGCGACAGCCAGTGGAACATTGCTTTTTAAGGGTATGTCTAACCAGGGAGCTGTTTGTTTTGCTTTGGGCCTGGTGACCCGGAAAGGCATCTGCTCCTCCAGCGAGGGAACGGGGTGGGCATGCGCTCCCTTTCCTTCGGCACCTCCAGGGAAGCCTCTTCCTTGCCAGCAAAAACACATCCCTCCCCAAAATAGCACATTTAGTCCCCTGGACTGAAAGATCAATCGGGAACAAATCAAGGGTTTCCCACAATCTAGACATTACCAACGGATTCCAGTGGATTTAGAGCAGAGTAACTTGTTTTAGGATGGCACTGCTGACTGTCAAATGACCCAGGGCAGGTATCTGATGAAGGGAGCTTTGATTTTTGGAAGCTCATAACCCAGAAAATCTTGTTTGTCCTCTGGAAGGTTGGAGAAAAGTTCTGTGAACTGCTCCCAGAGCGAATATTGGTAGCGGCTCATGCAAGCCAGATAGGTTGATTGTTTAATGGCTAAGGCGCCTGACGAATAAAAGCGGCGTCCAAAAGCATCTAACTTTCTTCCTTCCTTGTCGGAGGGAGTGGTGTGCGTTCCTCGAGACTTAGAAGAAGAAGAAGAAGAAGAGATTGGATTTATACCCTGCCCTTCACTTGGAGTCTCAGAGTGGCTTACAAATTCCTTTCCCTTCCCCTCCCCACAACAGACACCCTGTGAGGTGGGTGGGGCTGAGAGAACTCTGACACAAACTGCCCTTTCAGGAACAGCTGTGCCAGAGCTTGTGACTGACCCAAGGTCACATCAGCAGATGCAAGTGGAGGAGTGGGGAATCAAACCCGGTTCTCCCAGATTAGAGTCCGCACATTTAACCACTTAACCACTACACCAAAGAAGACGTGATAACCATTGAGTTTGGATTTGGATGGGTTAATAAAAATTCCGCCTCAGGATCCTGAATCCTATACATGTGATCTAATTATCGTGTAGATACAGGAGCGGAAGATGGTTTGCGCCATGGCGATTTTGCTGCTTGAAGCAGGACCGAGGACATGGGCAGTGCCACAACAGAGGTTGTGTCCAATTGAACGACATCATAGAGAGAGTCAGTAGATTGTGGAGCTTTTTGGACGATCGAGAGGCCTAAAGAAGCGGCCATCCTTTTAACCAAATCAGTGTTAAGTTATCTGATGGAGATATGGGTAAATCCTGTGATACATCAGGGTTTGGTGATGTATGTTCTGGAGAAGTGGGTGCCTCGGAAGCAATAGAATCTGAGTCATCATCAGGAACATCAGAAGATTCCAACTGTTCCGTGTCCTGTGGACTTGTAGGAGGTACAGGAGGGGCTGCAGGTACAATGGGTTTTGTAGACACCTTAGGACAAGGCTCCAATGTGAGTTGAGGAGGCTTTGGTTCTGCCTGAGTTAGGTCCTGCACTGGAGGGCGTGAGATCATGGCTGAAGGTTTTGCCTTAACAGGAGACCTGGACCTATGACTAGAGCAATAGGAATAACGGTCCCAGTCCGAGTAAGTGGCAGGAGTTAACCATGGCATAGGCAGATGGTACGGCCCATATAAGTACCGCATCTGTTTTTCATCCCATGACATAGGTAGAGGTGGAGGCAGAGGTGGAGGCCTGTAGGTTCTCGGGGAGCGACTTCTGGTTCTTCGACGTCTTGGAGAAGCACCCATGGCATGCCGTTGGGATACATGTCTGTATTCTGCGGCTTCGATATCGACAGGCTCAACGAATGGAGATGGATGGTAGCGCTCCACATTAGAGTGAGTGGATCGATGTAGACGGCCGTCGGTATCGGGAGTCTCAGAGAGCATCGATGCCGATGAATCAGAATCAGCGGGGGAAGACTCTGCACCTATGGGGTGACTAATGAGCTCCGCTGTGTCGATATCGATGGATTCAGGTCTTGGTTGGCGTACAGGAGAGACCAGTAAATGACCAGGCGGTACCTGCGGAGGAGGTTGAGGCTCCGGTATTGATACCACAGGAGGCTGCACTGAGACTTCTGAATAAAGTACTTCTTTCCCCTTCTTTGCCGACTTAGCTGGTTTAGCTGGCTTGGAAGTAAGCTTTTTAGCGGCTTTTTGTTTTGTACTTGCCTGCACCTTGGTAGAAGTACTCGCCTGCGTCTTGGTAGAAGTACTCGCCTGCGTCTTGGTAGAGGTGGAGGGTTTCGGTGTCGATTGTTTCGATGCCGGATGATCGGTATCGATGGCCGTCTGTAATGTAGAGGGTGGCTCTTCCATTGTAGAAGTCGGATTGAGGGTGGATTCCAATAAAGCGACCTTCAGACATGCCGCCCTGTTTTTTCTAGTCTGGATTGAGGACTTGGCGCAGTGTTTGCAGGTTTCTGGTCTGTGGGACTCACCGAGGCAGAACAAACAAAGTTTATGGCCGTCGGGAGGAGCCAATTTACTCCCACACTTCCTGCAGCGGTTAAAAAATCCCCACTTCTTCTTTTCCATACGGAGAAGAGCGGGCAGAGATAAAACCGCTGAGATAGAGAGAGGGGGGGG